GGCCCTGAGCCTCCACCGAAACCCGCAATGTAACATTTTGTCATTTTGATATTTTCAACTTTGACTGTGAAACGTCATAAGGATGAAGTGGATGGGCACATGGATGTTTGGATTCTTTGGAAGACAACCGTCCTTTTTTTTTTTTTTTTTTTTTTTCAATGTTCGGAAGACAGTTGAATTCCTGGAGATATGGATGTGCCTCGGTCTGTGTCTGGGTCTATGGAGGTCCCTTGAAATGTCTCAAATTCTCAACGGAGTGTTTTTTTTTTTCAATCTTTTTTTTTCAAATCTATCTAGCATTTTTCCATTTAGTACATTTACATACATATTTGAAATCATTTTTTAATATTTTCTGCAAAAAACTGCTAGAAAACTGGCTCACCTTAGCGGTCGTCTTGACTGTTGCCCAGGCAAATTCTGCCCGGCTGATAACTCCACTTTCCAACAGAGGTTTGAGGTGCATGCTGATAAAGCTCGTCACCTACACCCAGCCAATAGGAACCAGACACAAAGAGACTAAGGAGAGTGATTTTTCTTCCACACACACACACATACACACACACAAAAAAAAAAGAAAACAAAAAAAAAAAACAGGCATTCAAGACCCGAGGGAAGCTAGAGCCTAGGCAATTAGGGTTGAAATGAGTTGAGCAAGTAACATGCGGCCAGTGGAGCTGGCAGGGCACTCCTGCCCCCTGTGCCTTGACCTTTTGGACCTTATCCTGCACTGTGACTGGGTGCTGCTACCGTCTTCACCCGAATAGAACGCCCAATCATTATGGCTGTATTTGGCACAACTTTCGGTCCAGATGCAGCGATAATGACCGGGCGTTCTATTCGGGTGAAGCTTCCCGACTTGCAGGAAATCTCCAAGGAAAGGCCCAAAGGCGGGAGGGGTTGGCGCTGTGGCAAGTTGGCAACCCCCCCTTGAATAGGCGGCTCGAGCCACAAGGGCAGGCTGTCTCTCTTCTCTGTTTTCCCCCCGTGCTTGTTTCAAATTGTATAAAAAACGGTGCTTGCCGATGATAAGCAACCGGATTGATGCCCCCCAGAATAGAAGGCACCGGTGCTGTTGGAGGAAAAAAAAAAAAAAAAAAAAAAAAAAAAAACCACAGACCCCACCAATTTCTTGATCTCTGTGGGTCAACCTTGTGGGCAGCGCTCATAGCTAATCTTCTGTGTATTATGCCTGTTTTCTGTTTCAGCTTTCCATCGATTTATTGATAGGGCTTTTTCCTTTAATAAAGGAACAGAACAGAAAACACGACAGGAAGACCGGAACACAAACAGGACCGGATAGAATCATAGAACAGAAAAGGACAGAACAGAAAAGCAGACAGAACAGCAAAGCAGAAATAGGACAAAACAGCAATCTGGAAACGAAGATGTCAACAGGTGGTGGGTAACACTCTGGTGACAAGAAGGGAAGCCAGGGCAATTCTCTATAACTTGTTGGAGACAGAGATTAGGGCATTGTGGAGAAGAATAAAGAAGCAATTGGCGCTTAACCCAGAAAAGGCAAAGGATACCTTATCTAAATTTCACAAGAGGGTATTAGCCCAAGGCAAAGTCGCGACTGTTGAAGGGGAAAGACTTATCTTTCATTGGTTCAAAGAGGAGCACCAGGACGACACTATAGATGTTCAGCGGTTGATATAGGAACTTAGGCTACCATAAGAATTAAAGCGAGCCCAGCCAAGAAGGAGATGAAACGGAAATGGAAAAGGGGCAAATAGGGTTCAGAATAGCAAAATTTTGTTCTAAAAAAGGGAACTGTGGTTCATTTGAGCCAACAGTGGCAAGGAGGTCAGGGATGCCTGGAAACTGGTTCGAGGGGACGTGTTGGCGGTTTAGTGGGCTCAGAAAACTCTTTTATATGACGAGGGTTTGGGGTTCAGGGTTTAGAACTGGATGCCACTTCGGTAACGGGGGATGAGGAGGATAAGGGGCTAATGAAACATAGGGGTGAAGTCGAAGTAGGAGACCTAAGGGTTAGGTTTGAAGATAGAAGGATGAGTAGACATGCACAATCACACGTACTCAAGTACACAAGCACACAAAAGTACAGAATATGTACGATGATTGCATAAAGCCGGCGGGTGACGGCACCCCGACCGGTTTCGACCGCCGCCACGCGGTCTCTTCAGGGGGAAGACCACCTAGCTAACCACCATCGCCGGCTCATTGAGCCAGTACCCGCCTTCCACTAACCCAACTCCGCCGCAGTCCCGCGAGCATTCCGGAATGTTCGCGAGAAGATCGGCGTAGTACCCGAAAAAGAACCAGTGCTTCGCAATCATTATTGATATACTTCCTAAGCCCCTACTCTTACCGGTAACTTTTGCCAAACAAACAGAAACAACAAAAAAAGGCCTGAAAATCTCTACGTTGGCACAAAGTCCGTGGTCTTTGATTGAAAAACAACAAGGACTGCCCCAGGTTCGAAGCCTGCGGGTGTCCGACAAACCGGGCCAATTGTCCTATTCACCAGTCCCAGGTTCGACTCCTACTGTTTCAGCATCCTACGACCAGATCTAAAATGCATTACCGTAGAATATTACACTAGCTACCGATAGAACCACGAGACAAAGCCACAAAAAATACCAAAAACAACAAAGGCAGCAAAACCAACAAAATAGACAAAAACGATAAGGTTCAAATGAGACGCCCTGTCCCTACATCAATTAGCAATCAAACAGGCTAACCCAGCCTCGTACTTGCGGGTGTCTGTCCAATCATGGTCCCTACCTCTAGCAAAGCATCTCAAAACTCGTTCAACGAAACGTGAAGGGAAATCCTTCATACGGAGTTCCCGTACCAGGCTCAAAACCCTTAAGCGAATCTGCGAACGGATGTTCGTGTTACGATCAATCCTGTGCAGGTGGCTGGTAATTACAGCACTTTTTTGCTGCTTGCTCCCCCATGAACGGAAAGACTTCCCGTTCCTGAATTCCAAGCCTCCCTCACCCCAGATCGTTCGCTCATTCTAAGGGTTAGCCAGGGTAATGGGTAACCTCTTTCTTGCTGCTACAGTTATATCTGGCAGATCTAGTGAATAGATCTGAGAGGTAAGAGGGAAGCATGGCAAGCTGACAGTCAATCCTCCAGCAGTCTGGAGTAATCAATGTTGTTCAGGGGTCCTTTGGCCAGACGGGAGGAAGCGTGTGTGTTTATTGGTTGTATTGTTTATTCTGACTTGCCGGTGGAATAGGAACCGGACTGATGCTCCCCAGAATGGATAGGAGCCAGGACCATAAGGCCCTGTTTTTTGGGGGGAAAAAAAAAGAAAAAAAAAAGAACAGGACAGAACAGAAAAGATAGAGCAGAAAACAGAGGAGAGAGAAGCATATGCTAGCACCCGCGCCATCGGTTAGTGTGAAATCCAGTACTGCGCTAAGGAGCGCTAGCGCCCGGCCTAGGCCCGATGGGCTGACGCCAACCAATACCCGCCGCCACCCTCCCGCCCAGCCACCCGTGCTCCATGCATGCCCAACTTTGAATTTTCAAAGCTCGGCAGCAACGCCCACCATCGTCCCGAAGGCTCGAAGAAGCCACATCCGAGCGCAGCCCCTGCGTGCGCGCGAGAGCACCAAGAGGTCAGCTGGAGACAGTGACCCTCGCCGAAGCTGCTACTAACCAAGATCGTAGTCGGTCGAAGGTCATAGCTGGAGGCAGCAGCTTCTTCACAGAGACGAGCTGCAACAGCCCCCTATCCGTAGGTCGACGAGCCACCGTCCTCCGTGAGACAGAAGGAAGTCCCAATCCGAAGGCTGCCTCCCTCTGGAGAACAAGTTACACTCCGTGACGGCTTCTGCGAAAACACCAAGATTCATGCGAGGAACACATTCTTCCTACAACATCCGACGACAGCGTCATACTCCAAACGTCAACCAGTAACACTAAGTGAGAAGTCCGCCACCGCTCATCTCCACACTACCTTCCTGCCTACTACTAACTTATCTATCCTGATTCCTCCATCCAGAGTCCACCACACACTCCCCCCCATAAGCTTAACCTGACATACTAACCTGTCCTCCCAAAAAAAAAAAAAACAATCTTCTCCCACACCACCAACCCTCAACCTCTCTCTCAATACTCCGACTCCCCCTGCTGCCCCCCCCACCCGCTTCCCCCAATACTCCCGACACAACCCCGCAGCACAGCTGTCACTTTCTCCCCTCCCAGCTTCACCCTCCCTTTCATGCTCACCCCCCCAATCCTCTACCCCCAACCCCACTTCCTCTCTCGCACGTCCAAACCCCCACACCATCCCCGACAATCGCCACGCACCTCCGACCCACGCTATCCATTGCTACCCCACCCGACCCCCCCTCAGCCCCATAATCTACGAACCTGTACTCTCCCTCGCCCGACACCCCCCACCGATTTTGCAACTCACTTTTCAAGCCCCTAACCCGGTGCGATCACTGACTTCGCAACAAGCATCACATCCACCTATCCTTCTCCCCCTCCTCCCCTATCATATTCCCTCCCTCGCTGTCACCTCCCTTCTCCCCAACCGCCTAGCAAGCACACTATCAACACTCCCGCTCTCTCGATATCTATCCACTTGCCACCCCAATAAATACTCCTCCGATCCTTATCCACCTGACGGCATCATCAACTCCCCCCCCCCCGCCTCCCCCCCCTCCAACCTCCGACCACATTCCTCCAGCAAGATCTGGTCGGCCTCCCCTATCAGACAAGCCCCGGCGGCCCAGCCCCCTTCTCCCGCCACCATCCCAAAGTGATTCTCCCCCATCCAAGTGCCCACGGACCCACTCACATTCACCACTCAACACACCCCCTAACTCCAACAACAATCTTTTAACCTCAAACATTCCCCCCCCCCCAAACCAAACCACCCTAACACCAACTGAACCCGATTCCTGCGCTGGGCATACCCGCATATGCCCATGCATGCAGCCCATTTTGCCACGTAAGCAAGCTGCGAGGAGCTACAGCCACCCCTAACTCCCCACGATCACAAGTCCCCAATCAAGGGCTAGCTCAAAACAGAAGATAGGCAATTCACAGATGACACCATAGACTGACAGAGCAAAACAGAAAAAGACTAGGCTGAACTCCGGGCCGCCCGGCGGCCGGCTCGTCGCCCGGGCGGGGGGCCGGGCCGCCTGGCCGGTCGTTCCGCCCGGTTGGCCACCGGGCGACCCCAGTGCATCGTTGAGGGGGGAGGGGGGGGGGGGGGGGGGGGGGGGGGGGGGGGGGGGGGGGGGGGGGGGGGGGGGGAGGTTTCGTCGCGGGGGGCCTTCTTCCCCCCAAAGGAGGCCGTGTGTGAAAACAAACAAAAAAAAAAAGGGGCTGGTAGGCCCGATTTGAAATGTTTCAAATCGGGCCTACCCTTTTTTTTCCCCCATGCTGTCCTAGTTTCCCGTCTCACCTCGGCCGACTACTGTAGTTCGTCTTCGCCTTCGAACCCCACGCCCGACGCCTCACTTCGGCCGAATTGCACATTTGTCG